CTCTCCTAACGGCACGAACCCCATTAAAACCCAATTCAGCTGATTATGAACAGCTTTCCTTAAATGAAACCACTGGCTCCCTGGGGGGATTCAGCTAGAGCCAGACGAGACGACAAAAATAAAACACACACACACACACACCAGGTTGCTACGCAGAAAAAAAGGACAACATTGCTATGCTGCATCAGATCAATGTCCATCGTGTCCGGCGTTAAGGTTTCCAAGAATGGCCCACCCACTCTGGATGTTGTGGATGCTATTCTGGACAGATGCCTCTCCAGTCTCTTCTCCTTGAAAACCTCCAGGGGTGGAGCACCCTCAACTTCATATGTAACATGCTTAAATGTATGTAAACATGTGCCTTTTAAAAGCCCTGTAAGCAGTCCACCCTTCATTCATTAACAATAATAGTAATAGTAATAATAATAATAATAAAATAGGAAGAAGAAGAAGAAGAAGAAGAAGAAGAAGAAGAAGAAGAAGAAGAAGAAGAAAAAGAAGAAGAAGAAGAAGAAGAAAGAAAGAAAGAAAGAAAGAAAGAAAGAAAGTAAGTTGGAAGGGACCTTGGAGGTTATCTAGTCCAACCCCTGGCTCAGGTAGGAAACCCTATACCATTTCAGACAAATGACCGTCCAATCTAGTACCCAAGGGGTACTAGAACTCACTGGTGCCTGGTGATTGGACCAATATCACTTACCCAGCTTTCATGCCTAAGGCGGGACTAGAACTCACCGTCTCCTGGCGATCGGCCCAAAGTCACCCCAGTCGGCTTTCATGCCTAAGGTGGGACTAGAACTCACCGTCTCAGGAAAACCAAGAGTATTTTTACCCCCTCTTCCCCAATCGCAGTCATACCATCAAAATCAGGAACAAGAACAACGGTGTGTGTGTGTATGTGTGTGTGTGTGTTCATAAATATATTTATTGCTCAGTACGGAGCAGAGTCGATGTTTCAGATGAAGATGTAGCCGTCAACAACCTGCGTGAATTACTTTTTCCAGTGCTGTTGTAACTTCAGTCACTAAACGAGTGGTTTTAAGTTGAGGACTACTTGTGTATCCAACCTGTAGTCCTGGCCAAAGTTTACAGTCCATGCAAAGCCGAAAGGAAGCAGAGTTCGGAGCCCAGTTTGGCAGTTTAGCAAGTGAGGGTTAAAAAAAACATCAGCCTCTCTCTAGTCCATTTTTTTTCCCCTACAAGCAGGAAGAATGGGAAGACAGGGTGATGGATTCGAAGGGAAAGGGCGCCCTCTGCTGGCCAAAGCTTGGAAATCTTTTCACTATCCAATACAACCTCAGCAACTTTTAAGATGAGTGGACTTCGACTCCCAGAATTCCTCGTGCTGGCTTGGGAATTCTGGGAGTTGAAGTCCACTCATCTTAAAGTTGCTGAGGTTAGGAAGCACCGATCTCAGGGGCTCTTTCGACAAAGGGTCCTCTCCAGTGGTGGGATTCAAATACGGGAACAACCGGTTCTCTGTGGGGATGCCGCTTCCGGAAGTCCGTTCTGGGCCAGGGCAACAAAAAAATTAGCTACCGGTAACATCACCAGTGCTAAAAGGCAGTGAGGTTTGCAGAGCGGAGGAAAAGGAAGTCATTCTTTTCCCAAAAACATACGTAGCCCATCAACAAAGTCCTAGAACCAATCTCAGATGATAAAGAATGAGGAAGGTGCATGTTTTGGCTCTCTCTCCCCAGATTTTTTTTTAAAAAAATGCTCAATATAGTAAGCCCCCACTACCGTCTCCTCGACACGTTGCCCTCCAGAAATGTGAGATGACACGTTCCATAACTTACATGCCATCCGAAGCTTCTGAAGGACATTGCACCGAGGAAGGCCAAGACAGATATCGTTGTGTTATGAAATACATCCCTAATTTTATCTCCCTTTCCTGGAGCAGATCCTGCTGATCTGTGAAGGGGAGGGGAGAAGGCAACCCAAGGGATTCTGGAAGACAATTTGTCAGCCAGAGACACGTCTTCAAGCCCGGCTGACAGAGAAAAATCTACATCTCCATTTGATTAAGTGGCTGCCAAGCTACTTGTCCCCTGGGTGGGTCAAAGGGCCAGGAAACGAAGCACGGGAAAACAACAATGGAGTGTCTACACTTGGATATGTATATTTTAATCTCCGTTGAAAGCATTGGTCCTTTTTGATGTTCATCTAGCGGCTAGCCAATCCTGCAGGATTCTTTTTTTATATTAATGGGGAGGGGGTATTTGATACGCCGGTTATATTGTGCTCCATCACTGGAGGCTTTGAAGAAGAGACTGGACAGCCATTTGTCCAAAATGGTATAAGGGTCTCCTGCTTGAGCAGGGGGTTGGACTAGATGACCTCCAAGGTCCCTTTCAATCCTATTCATCTATGTTCTGTGTTAAAACACACCTCCTTTCAGAGCGTGGGCAGCGTGCTTGTCTCTGTTATGTAGAAATGAACAGAAGTGGCCAAGATTTTATTTTAATTTTCAACATTAATGCTTGCTCAGGGCAAGCTTCAAATCAAACCTTCTGAATTTGGCTCCTGGTAAATTTAAAAAGATTATTCAATGATTTTGCTTACAAGGAGAAAGAAGAGCTAGCGTTTTTACCCGCAAGAAGAGATGTCATCTGATTAAATAAACCTTAGACCTCTTAATTAATCACATGCACGTAATGCGCTGGTAAATTTGCATACATTTACATATGATTAGAAACAATACTTCTGAAAGGCAGGCCTATTTTTGGATGAGGTCTATTTAATGTTTGATTCTTCTTTTTTTAAGAAAGAAAAGACAGAACACCTTCTCAATAGGCTAGACAACTTAAATGTCAAATGCTCCTGTACAGAAACAAACTTTTCTATTTTTCCGATCGGCTATCCTGGGACATGCTATATACAGTGGCATCAAGTTGTGATCATGTATGTCCACTAGGGGGCAGCAGAAAGTCAGGAAACATTCAAATTTGTCAGAAAAGGACAGAAGGAAGCAATGGGGGAAAATGTTAGTTATGAGGCTCACCTTGCTCCAAATTTAAATTTCATGAACTAGCTTTGGAGGGAAATTGCTGGAAAAATTAAACGTACACCTGTCAGGGCCATACCTTTATTAGGCCAATGCAAAAGGTCACAAAATAATGCTCAAAACAGTTAACAAGGGCAGGAAAAGGACAGGAAAAGGACAGAAAAACCTTGGAGTGTCCAAATGTCTATGGAGATGCTCAGTCATCCCGGTCAGTTGTCTCAAAGGTGCTTTTTCAAGAAGCTTCTGGGATGAGAAGCGAAACGTCTTCTCAGTCCAGCTGCCTCTTGAAAAAAACCCTTTGAGACTTGGGAGTGTCCATTTACTTCCAAATACATGAAAAGGAGTTACAGAGATTCAAACTAAATTCTGCTAGATGCCACGATAGCTTCAGCTCAGCCTGCACGACAGTCCTTTGAATTTTATGCTCTTACAGGTAGTCCTCGCTTAACAACCGGTTGCCTAGCAACTCTTTTAAGTTACGGCAGACCTTCTGAAAGGTACTTAGGATCCAATTTTGAAGTTCTGAAGGCCCGCCTCACCCTTGGCATTCATGCAATCGTATCTTGGGTGCTTGGCAATTGGCTCATATTTACAGCCCTTGGTGACCGCAATTTTCCATGGTTTTTTTGTGCGTTTCCGGCATTTACTTTCCAGTTTCCCAAAAACACCCATTGGATAAAATCGATCTGCTTAACCACCACCGCAAAACGGTCAGAAAATCAGGCATGGTGAACTGCTTAACAACTGCAGTGACTTACTACAGGGGTCTTCAAACGTGGCCCTTTTATGACTTGTGGACTTCATCTCCCAGAATTCCTCAGCCAGGCACGCGTGAAGACCCCTGACTTATCATAACAACTCCGGGTCCAATTACAATCATAAAGTCAAGGACTATCCACAGTGCAATTTACAACCCAGACACGTGACAGAAGCCACCTTTGCCTTAATCTAATAATTCCTTCTATTGTTCAGTTTAAGAGGTGTTTTTCTGTTTTTGACATAGTGCCTTCTTTTTTAGAGAGACCAAGCAGACAGAGAAGCACGAAGCAAATAGTCCACACCCCTCTTCCCACTTCAGAGCAAAATGCCCTGATGATTAATAACCGGCGGTAGTCTTCTCTTTCCATAAATCTATCTTAATCTTTTTAAAAGCTCTTTTCCCCTGAGGCCCCATTGCCCGTATCTAGACATTCGATTTCTCCAATATTCAAGCAATGTCGAAAGTCAGAAAAATAGGAAGACAAAAGCAGATCTCCTGGCTGAAATCCTGCTGGCTGAAAATTTAAGTTTCGATGTTTCTCAGAAGTCCTGGATTCTTGCAATCTCCTCCCATCTGCCTTCCGCAGCCTAGGCGGTCACCCAGTTGCCATCACGGCCGCAACTTATTGAGAAGGACGAGAACTGTAACCCAACAGAGAGGACGTCAACTTGGGAAAATCAGAACCGAGTAGATAACGTGCGTATCGTCACCCAGTTACTGAAATTGATTCTTCTTTCACGGAATTGACGACCAATCTTAGAAAAGGGAGGTCAAAGATCAAGGCAATCAGTTGACCCCAAGTGTTAAACTTCCATCTAAGGGGAGAATTTACCCCCTTCTCTTTTCTAATGAATTCAGAATTCTGTCCTGGGGTATTTTAATGCAATGCCTGTCTACACTCTTGGTCATTCTGCTGGCTTTCTCGATCTACAAGTGGTCCCACGTGACTGATCGTTGATTAGGAACTTAACGCCTGTGTCCAAATTTCAGCCGAGCCCTTGAGGCAAACCTTTGAATCCAGTTATTCGTAGATTTCCACCCATTTTGCTCCGCTTTGCAGCTGCAAGGACCGGGCAGCAGGCTAACTCAAGTTCTTCCACAAGGTGAAGTTGCGGGCTGCCGAAAAGAAATCAATCTTAAGCAAAGGAACCCAATCAGCTGATTGCCAAGTTGTGTGTCTCTCTCTCTCTGCCACGCTGCAAGTCTCATCTTAAGTCCTTTTGTCAGTTTCTCGAGCTCTTTCACACCGACAGAAGGTCTGGGGGGAACTCCCCATAGCAGTATTTTGCAATGGGGTTGCGATAGGTGTTTTCATGCTGCACGCTCTGGGGAGGAGAGGAAAGACAAGAGAAGAAAGGTTTAGGCCAGTCAAGAGGAACCGATTGCTAGGAAATGCTACGAAGGAAGGGAAGTCGCCTCGTTCGCTCTTTGTAGACAGAAAGGCTTGGCTTCCGTGCCACTCAGTGTGAACGTTGTTCAGAAAGGTGCAACTATAGAGAACAAGAAAAGATGACCCTGAAGGAAGGATGCAAGAACTAGGCAAAGGGGGCTGGGACAGTTGTAAGCTCTGGGAAACATCCCTTCATAGCCCTCCCCCCCCCTTCTCCATCCTGCCTAATCGATGAAGCTTCTTGCTCAAGGAAAAAACAGTCCAGTTGCCTTTTGAAAAAGCACTTTGAGGCTCTTGGAAAAGGAGGAGGAGTGGGAAGAGGAGGAGGAGGAGGAGGATCATGGGGTCCTTGGTGCTTTCTGAGCTTGGTTGTTTCATTACCTAAACTAGGTAACATCATCAGTGCTAGAAGGGAGTTGAGTTTGCAGAGAAGAGGAGGAGAAGGAGGAGGACTGTGGGGTCCTTGGTGCTCTTTGAGCTTGGTGGTTTTCTTGCAGATGTTTCATGACCCAACTAGGTAACATCAACAGTGCTAGAAGGGAGTTGGGTTTGCAAAAAGGAGGAGGAGGAGGAGGAGGACTGGGGGGTCCTTGGTGCTCTCTGAGTTTGGTGGTTTTCTTGCAGACATTTCATTACCCAACTAGGTAACATCATCAGTGCTAGAAGGGAGCCGGGTTTGCAGAGAGGAGGAGGAGGAGGAGGAGGAGGAGGAGGAGGAAGAGGGGGAACAACAGCACAATCAAGATTCTGTTATAGGAGATCTCAAAAAAATTAGCACTAGTCTCCCTGTGCAGTTGACTTCCTGTTCTGGTTTATCTTAGCGGAGCCTTTTGACTGCTTTATAAAAAGCAGTAAATTATATGAGGTTGATAAGCCGCTACTGGCAAGAATGCATGTCACTGCTGAGGCTATGAAAATGGGCCCTTATTTACGTTTGATTTCTAATTTCTGCTTGCCCTCATGCGGGCCAGACAGGATCAGATGTGGCCTGGGAGGGGTGGGGGAGGGAGGCATAAAATGCCCAGATCTGCCCTATATCATTCCGGACCGATGGCTGTCCGATCTCTTCTTTAAAGCCTCCAGGGATGGAGCACCCACACAATTTCCCTTTCCTTACCTGTGAGGAGGTCCTGCATTTGGCCAGACAGAGCTCAAAATGATCTTCCACGGCCATGAAGAGATTGCGGAAGGCCAGCGCCGCTCGGCTTAGAAAATGCTCAAGGAGCTGTTGCTATAAAGCAAGAAAGAGAGGGGGGGAACAAACAGGAAGCTCACAAAAACCAGAAGCGCCCAATGGAGAAGGATTTCATTGAGCGCCTCTCCCTACGACATGACTCAGCCAATCATCTCCCAGGAAATACAGCGGTACCTCGATACTCGTCGTTAATTGGGCGCAACGACTACGACTACTAAAATCAACAAGTACCAAACAAACCGTGTAACTTGAACACCTGACCTTTTGTTTTTGGCCAGAAAGGGTTGAGAGTCAGGAGGCAGCAGACACTGACAAGTTTCTGGTTTCAAAGTTCTGATGTCCTGGCTTCCTCCATGGTCATGCGACTGAATTTTGGGCGCCCGGCAACCGGGCCACATTTATAGAGCCCTGAGGTCCCATGACCATATTTTATGATGTGTTGGCCAACTGCAACTCTTTCCTCCCTCTCCCAAGGTCCTTCGCACGTGCCATTACAACCATTTACCTTGTTGGGCTGTAAGCAGCAGGACACACAGGCCTCGTAGACGCTGCAACAGCCACTGGGCAGGCAGCTGTCGCAGCTGTACAACTTGACGCCAGGCGCCTCCACGTTGCAACACCCGTTCACCAGCAGGTCCTTCCTTTCGCAGATGTAGCCTGTCGCAGAAAAACTCTAGATGATGCTGAGCAGCAGGAGAAGGGAAGGCTGTGTGTCACAGCGCAGAAGCCAAAACGCTGGGCTGAAAACTGACTCCATCTCCACCCTTGAAGCAGTTTTCAGAGATTCCAAAGAAGCCAGTTATTTGAATTTTTGCACAGGCTCAGAGGCATGGTTATTGTGAAGGACACACATTCAATTTTGCAGCTACCAAGATTGTTGGATGAGCAGGCACAAAAACAGCCAGGGAAGTGACCGAAGCCTGGGAAACAGGTCCCGCGTCAGTCAACAGGAGGGCTGATTGACCACCAGCTTATCCAGTACCTAGGAAGTGAGGGCTGGGCAGCACAAGCAAACAACTCAATAGCCAGCCATCAACACCCCAATCAACATCTAAAAAGCCACATACAACAGGCACTGAAAGACCACACGCAGAACACACTCCACTAGAGAGAAGTTCCCCAAAGATGGGCTCCAGCACAAGTCCAAAAGCTGGGAAGACAAAATCGTTGGTCCCAGTGACAGACCCAGATTGGATTATCCCAGGACACGTATGTTCGCTTTCGTTCGTGAGAACCTTACCCAACTCATCTGTGATCAACAATTTTCCTTGGACAGAGTTCCGACACTGGTTATTCGGCTGGCTGCTGTTCCCCAGGCTAAAATGGACTTTCCAGGCAATGGGGCGGTCTTCGTCTTGACCTTGGGGGAAATTCCGATCCCGCAGCACTCGCTCTTCCTAAAGGCAAATATGAGACACGTGGAACATGAAAGG